ATTGAGTACACTTGTAATTCTATCTTTTGTCACATCTTTTATGTTTATAATGGGTTCAGACTCAAATTCAATATTTGACTTGGACTCAGAAGAATTAATGGGTGAAAATGTTGAAAAAGAGGATAAATCAAGCAAAAAAAAGTCTTTATCATTATTTTTCATGAATGAAGTCTCCCCTTAAAGATAAGGTTGAGAAAAAAATGGTTTATTTTTTTCAAAAATAACATCTACAAACACATAATTTTTTGGTAGGAGGATGATAGCACTTATACCCTTTATGAGTTAATGAATACCCTATAAAAATGTACTTAATTGCTTTATGATCCAACTTCCTCTTATTATGATTATGAACATGAACAAATGATGTACAACCAAATATCCTAGGTGTGAGGTTGTTTATGGTATTAAAGTTAGGATAGAATTGTGATAGTAGTTCCATAAGAGTTTTAAATCCCAAAATCCTTAAAGGTAACCTATTTCTAATATGTGTGGAATGAGAAATGCTTTCCCCCAGTAGGATTTGGGTATATTTGCTTGAAAAAAAAAAGCTCAGGTTGTGGCTAGTAAATGACTATTTTTTCTCTTTGCCATTCCATTTTACTATGAAGTATTAACACAAGATCACTCATGGATAATCTCTTCCTATTAGAAAAATGTAGATAAACTCTAATTGAAATTGTCTCTTGCATTATCATACCTAAATCTTTTGATTTTCACTCCAAATTGATTTGGATCATAAGAAGTTTAGTACATATATCCTACAACAATAATTTTCTTATTACTATAACATAAGGTATATGTACTAAACTTCTATGAGAAATGTGTCATATGGTTTGTGGCTCTTGAGTCAATACCTAAGAACTCGTAATAGGCTTAACCGAGATATTTAATCCATGAAAACCAGAAGCTTTACTTGAACTAGAGACTTTACCCAATAAACATACCCCAATAGGCTTTTCAAGAGTTTTTGATAGGCTTCTTAATTTCTGAATCTCTTTTCTATCTAACTTTTTTTGTTCCCGAGACTTTTATAGTACTTTGATGGTTTTACCAATTATCACTTCTTTAAATCGGGTAATAGTGACAAATTCTACAATCTATGGCACGATCATCTTTTTCAAAACTGAAATGAGTCTTGATAGTAAATGTTTAAATAGAGATGATTCTAGGCAATGAAGGTCAAAGAAGGAAAAAATAATACTAAAAGATTTAACAAGATTTGGCTATGAATACCTAAAATAGAATTTAACAATGAAGGTTGACAAAATTTTCTTCCCAAGAAGAGCCTAAAGCTTTGATACATGTGAAAAAACTAAAAAATAAAATTATATAGAAAACTAAGAGTAAAACTAAATGTATATTGAAAAACTACTCATAAAAAATTATACAAGCACATTAAGTTTATATATAACTAACTAGTAGGTAAACTAAAAAGCTAAATCTTTCTAAAACTAATACTATAATTGAGTGATTATCTATCTTAATTTTTTGTCCTTAATTCTAAGGACACAAATACTTAATTTTAGAGATACAAATATAAATATGCAGATTACAATATTACAATCAACTATAAATAAGTATTTTTCCATAAAAACAAATAATAAACTAAGAAGAACAGTGACAAAAACCAAATTTCATTGAATATTAAGAGCAAAACATACATCATGTAGGATAAAAGTTTTCTCGCCATGCATGCATAACTTACAGGTGCCAATTCCCTATACTTCAATCCATGAATTGTTTCCTACATAGATCCATTTTGTTTCACATGAAATCCAACAAAAATCTACAAACACATTTCTATCTTGTGCTACATGGTTTATGGCCCCTAAGTCTATAATCTACAAAGAATGTGATTTAGTCATCATACTAGCACTAGAAACAAACATAATACTTTTAGCATTATGTAAAAATGCTTTTGCCATAGTTAAAGTACTTAACTCTCACTTCGTTCTTTTAGGATGAGCCTTAGGATCTTATCCCTTGTCGATTTAGCCACTATTTGGCCTTTTAGGAGTTTTCTCCTTGTTCCCACCATGTAACCTACATTGAAGTCCAAAGCTTCTTTTGAACTAAATGATGCCATATATGTATCAACACTAGGCTTAAATGCTTCTATACAATCTTCTTCCAGTTGAAGATGATGAGAAACATCATTAGGAGTCCTCATACTCTCATTATGAGTAAGTTACACTTTCATATGTTCTCAGCTATTTGGCAAAGAACGAATAATAGCTTGAACGTATTGTTCATCTGTCAGAGTGTAGCTAGCCTCTTTTAACTTATTTATCATGTTTGACATCTTTCTCACATGCTACCTAATATTATGATTAGGTCAGTTCTTGTATGTGTTAAATTTGATAGTGAGCTGTCTCAGTTTGGTAACTGAAGTTGCACCAAATTTTGCTTTCAAGGCACTTCACATCCTTTTTAGCTATTCCATGTGACTGGAACTCATGCATAATATCATTCTCCATATTGTTAAGCAATGTGATATGTGCAGTAAAGTTTTTCTTTTACTAGGCCTTATAAACTTTTCAATCCATCTTGTGTTGGGACGTATTTCCTTTCTCAGGCTCATCAAAAACATTGTTTAGAAAATCAAAAACTTTTTGTTCTTTAAGTGCATATTGGATTTTCATACTTCAGATCTCATAGTTATCCCCATTCAGCTTTTCATCCTTATTTAATTCAACAACAATATTCTTAAAAGCATAAGCCATTTCAAAGTATAATTCTACATTCAAAAGACATACGTACTAATTAATATCTAGCATTGCACATTTCTAATTTGCCACAATGTCAGAAATAAAACAGCGATAATCATTCACATAAAAATAAAACAAAAAAATCATTATGTTCACAATCAATTTCCATTTTTGAAATGTGTTTGATTATCACTAATTTATTTTATTATGCAAAATCAATCATTCTAAGATAAAACAAATCAATTATCTTAGAACTCCTATTAACCTTAAGGTTACCAACATATCACTAACCATAAGATTACCAACATATAATCAATAACATATATATATTGATTTCAAGCAAGCAAGTCTTACCAAAACATAATTCAAATTCATAAACATGTTCATAATAAAAAAAATATATACATACTAAATGTTAATAAAACATGTTCTTAATCATTTCGAATGACTTGTCCAATAACAGGGATAGATTTTAAAAATTTCTTTGATAATTTTGCATTCTTATTATCCATCCATGGAGGTCTAGGAATTTTATGTTTCCCATTACAAAGACTTAGGCAAACTAAAAGGGTCACACTCCGCTTTGCTCCCATTCTTACATATTCCTTCACAGAACCCTTAATTAATGTTTCATACTTAGGATCACTTCCCAAATATGTCTAGATATCTCAAATAAGATTTTTTTTGTCTAGAAGTAAAAAATGTATCAATTAGCATTTCATATTTAATCTGGTCATTCCTAATGTTTGATGCTATCACACCAAATCAATTCTTGGATCACGCCATTGACCTTGATGATATGCCTCTCAATATCATTATTTGGATTCATTCAATATTGCCTTAATTCCACTATCAGCCTTATAACTCTCAAGAATTATGCCAGTATCCTCAGAACGATGGGAATCCTTACAATAATAATAATGATATTTTGCAACAACATATGACAAAAAATCATGAATTTATGAGTTAACACAAGTATAAAAAATGATTAAGACTCATCCAAATCATTTTTGTGTAATCTGACATCCCAAAGTTAACAAGGACATTTTTTTTTTTTTGCTTAATATCGAAAAACAAATGATCCAACATAAAAACATCAATGGCATTTCCAAGAACTATCATAACAATATTAATTATATCAAAAACACAAAAAAAAAGTGCCGACTCTTATGGATATTCACAATCATGCAAGAACATATCATGTTTCGGTTATTAAGAACATACAAACGAACTAAAAAACAAGCCAACCTGACTTTGATATAAATGTAACATAAATTCATATTCAAAATATATGCAAATATAATAATAAATACTTACTTGTTAAATAAAAGCAGAAGCGAAAATTCGACTTGAATTATTAGTCATTGAACAAAATCATAATATAAAAATTATTTAATTTCACAACATAAGTCCTTCACACCGAATACAATAATTTTTTTTACTTAAATTGGTTGAAACGCCTACCCTACTCTCTTTCCTTTTCCTTTTTCTTTAACAAACTTTTTCTCTTTATTCTTTCTATTTTTTATGTTAATGGACGAATGTTTGTTAAAAAGCCAAATGGCTTTCTTGTTCAAGCATCAAAGGGTAGGTGTTATTTTTTTTTTATTTTTATAAATTGCTCGTGACAATTTTTCATTCAAAGGAAAAACTGTCCAAGGCAATTGGTTTATTAACGTAAGATATGCCCACTCACTCTGTGAGGCTCACATCCCGACACATTCACCCCAATGCATGTTTCACTAAAGCTAGTAAACTAAAAAATATCTAATGGCTGAATGTCGTACATTTGAAATAGCAAAATAATTTTAGAATTTAAATAGAAGTGTTGGAAGTTGGTCATGATCTTCTCGAAGCTTTTAATTTGTTATTATTATCTGGAAAGTGAAAAGAAGTTGATAAATATGACTTATTAATGAACCTCCATTTTCAATTTTTATTTGATTGTTAGCGGCAGGATCAATCTTGAAACAAATCAAAATTTTGCTATAACATTAATGCATATGCTTGAAAAAAAAAAAAAAAGCGTATCCCTTTTTCGGTAAAAGAAATTGCAAAAAAATACTAATATATAAATGATTTATAAGCCCAAAAAAAAATTAAATTTGCATGAAAACATTAAAGAAAGCCAGCCAACTTTCGTAAATTTCAATTTGCTTGGGAACTGGAAAAGGCAAACTAATACAGCAAAGCAAATTCATTGTGCATGGAAATATCAAAAGCCACGATAAGCCCTTCAAATGCCTATGCAAATGCAACAGCCATTTTCAATTCTTCATTTGCTTCTGAGGAATGGAACTCTCAGAGGAATGGAAAGCTCTATTACCTATCCGTCATTCCTTCAACTCACCCCTTCTCTCTTCTTCTTCTTCTTCGTTTGGTCCTCTTATCTTCAACCCAAAACCTAAAACCCTTCCTAAAACCCTCTTCTCTTCTCCCTCTTTGTTCCCTCCTCTCCCTCCTCCTCCTCCCCCTGTTTCCAGCCTCCCTCACTTTCTCTCCACTTCTGCTTCTATCCCTTACTGCATTTCTTCCTCTATTTCATCCTTCCTCTGCGATGACTTTGTTGATGACCACCCCCATTCCATCTCTTCTTTTTTGTCTCATAATCGCCTCTGCTTCCTGCCTTGTCCTGATCAAAAACTTTATCTGCTCTTCTTCTCAACTGGCCTCAACCATGACCATATCGGCTTTTTGGTTATTCACATTCAAGACAATGAACTTAAGGTTCTTGGTAATGATGGTGGTGACGTTTTACTTGGTGGCAACCACTTGAATGGTCACAGGATACGGAGGATTTTGGTGAACCCGGATGGCGACGAATCGGATCCTACTGTCGTTGGTCAATTGATGGCTTACACTATGTATTCCGTTCATTGGTATTGTGTTAAAATTGTTGAGTCTAGCAAAGTTCCTGTTTTGCACTATTTGGGTTCTAAGTTGTTCAAGAAGTCCATTATAGGCTGTTGTTGGAGTCCACATTTGTATGAGCAAAGTGTGGTTTTGTTAGAAAATGGTGCATTGTTCTTGTTTGATATCTCAGAGTCTAATCTTAATAGGGAAAAATTGAGAGTTTCATGGGATCATGATTTTTCAACCGGTTCAGGCAAAAAATGTGAATGGTTGGGCTGTGAGTTCAGTTGGCATCCGTTGATTTTGATTGTTGCACGATCTGATGCTGTCTTTCTAGCTGATTTCAGGCCTTATAATAAGTGTGAAGTAACTTGTCTGGCTAAGATTCAGATGTTTAATCTGAGCCTTGGTCATTCTGCTAGTGAGATAGAGAAGGAACGGTTTCTAGCGCTTTCTAGAGCAGGCTCGGATGGATTCCAATTTGTTTTGGCTTCTCGAAGCTCATTACTTCTGTGTGATGTTCGCAAGCCAATGATGCCACTACTGCACTGGGCCCATACTCTTGATAGTCCATGCTACGTTGATGTATATCAATTATCCGAACTGAGATCACAAGCAAGGGATGATAGGTATGGGTGGGCAACCGCATCGGGTTTTTGCATATTACTTGGATCATTTTGGAATTGCGAGTTCAACGTTTTTTGCTATGGTCCTTCTTCATCAGCCAGTGAAGGATCTGTTGTTGGTAAGGGAATTTCCAAGTTTTGCAAACCCTTTATAGCATGGGATCTTCCTTCGGATCTCTTATTGTCTAGCAGGGATTGTCCCTGCGGAAGCTGTCTTGTTAAACAAGAAGCTTTAAAGGATGCTCTTCCCGAAGGGGTCGATTGGCGACAGAAGAAAGAAATTGTAGTGGGCTTTGGAATTTTGAATAGGGAATTTCGTGAGCTGATGTCTGAATCAGATGAATTTGGTGGGTTTACTCTCGTGAGGCTAATGTCTTCCGGAAAGATTGAAGCTCAGCGGTACTGTGCCTCATGGGATTCGGTGAAGAAATCAGATGTAGCCCACACACAATCAAAAGAATCATGGCTAAATTTTGGTGGTGACTTACTATACTCTTTTTGTGATGCAGAATACAAATTTCATAAAAAATTCAAATTTTTGAAACTTGACTATCTTAAGGGGTATTTGAATGGCAAGCTGGCAGAAATCATATATTCCAAGATGAAGATGCCATCAAAGGGTCATTTGGAAAAGGAAATTCTTAGCATAAACTCTCATGAAATTTTGTGCAAAAAGTTGAAGGCATGTGGCTTTGCACGATTCAAGAATTCCCCTGTCATTGGTCTAGATGACATTAGCGTGCCAACAAGCATATATGAAATTGGTTTGAAACAAATGTGGGCAACCTTACCCATGGAACTTTTACAGCTGGCCTTCTCTAGCTACCGTGTGCCTAGTGATGACAATGAGTCGCCTTCGGAATTTTTAGCTGTTCCAGACATTCCTCAGTTGCCTCCTTTTCTCTTAAGGGATCCTTCAAGCCATAGCAGCAGCAGTAAAGTAGTGCAGGCTAATGATTCCATTGTCGGTCCTCTGCTTCCTCTTCCTGTTCTACTCACTCTTAATGAGTTTCGAAATGGCCGTCCCAATGCACAAGCAACGTGTGCATTTTCATCAGAGGTGGAACGACGCCGTCGATGCAATGAAGTCTTGAAAGTGGTGTCGGATGATGACAGAAATGAGAAGGGGGTTGACTCTCAAAAATCAAAACGTTTCCTTGTATACCATCCAGATCCAGTTGGAGTTGAAGGTGAGCCCTCTGCCAAGGAACAACTACAGGGAAACAGTGTTTATACAGACAAGAAATTCCATAAATTGATTTCCAAAGTGAAGGATGAGGGACAAGGTAGTTGTAGTGGTCCAACAGATGGTGCTGGGCTGGAGCTTTTCGATGATTTGTGTCCCATCAAGTTAGAGTTCAATGCTCCTGCCATAACCCTTAGTTCACAGGAATTAAGAGCATTGAAGACGATGAAAGAGCAATTCTCAAACTGGCAAAAAGGTTTTAAACCATATCAGGAACTACGCAATCGTCGCAAATTTTAAAATCGAGATGCTTGATTTCCGGTTGCTTGTAGCAGATAGACTCTTAAATATCAAAGCTCCGTTATAAGTATTAGGGACATGATAGATTTAAAATGCTTTTGAATTGAAAATTTTGAGTTGATGTTTTCAACGGTTTGTGATGATTATGACATGGATCAGGAACAACGGCTTGACTCGTGATAACAATAATTAAGTTGCCGTTGATGTCAATCATTTGCTCCTTCTATGCTGCTTTTCTTAAGAGCAGAAGATTTGTTTATATTTATCTTTAATTATTAGTTATTTTCTTTTTTGATTGCACTTATTGCATAACCACTCAAGTAACTATATTCAAACATATATCTCGGTATCAATTTTAATCTCACTGTTTTTGTCGCTTATTCAAATGAATTATAATTATCATAAATTATGATATGGGCATTAAATAGTGTATAAAATTATAATTATTTTGTATTGAGTTTGATTTTATGCTAAAATCATATCTAACAGACTTTGAATATCATATCAACTAAATGTGCCATGTGGCATTCTCCCCCCCCCCCCTTTTTTTTGTTTCTTATGGGCTTTTTTTGCATATTTAAATTTTTAAAGTTTTTACCAAATAAAAAAAAGTTTTATCAATTTTTAAGAAAAAAATTTACAAAATTTTTTTTAAAATTTATAAAATTTTTTTAAAGATTTAAAATTTTTAGATGGAACCCACTTTATCAAATTTTTTTCTTTTTTTTCTTTTTCTAAATTCACCCATTAAATAAATTTTGCTGTGGACAAATTTAACTCGAGTGCTATTTGCGCACCTCCAATTTTATTTTTAAACTCTTTTTTACTTTTTTAAAACTTTTTTATTGCTTTTTTATTTTTGTTTTTACATTTTAAAGATAAATATGTTTATGCTGGGTGATGAATGCCCTAGCTAATTCCTTCCATAAGCATATGCAAGTTTTATTAAACTAAACATACCATCCGATGATAGAGCGTATTAAACTATCTTGAAACACATGAATCATAAGCTTCTTATCATGAGTATGGACAACCATTTTTGACAATACATTGCGACATAAGTCACAAGGCATTTAGCCCCATCATACTTCTCAAACTCAATGACTTTAAACTTGTGTAGAACCACCACATTAGGCACTAAACACAATTCAGACACATCTATGGACCCATAGAAGTCCATCTCTTTAACAGCCCTAGTCCTTCTTCTAATAGATTCATCTTTTAAGTGGAAGAATCCTCCACTACCTTAGAAGTACTTATCTTCAATTTTTTATGTTCCTTGGGATCATTAAGATCAAGAATTTGAACATGATCAAATGCTTTTTGACCAAAGGTAGGATTGGTATAAGCTTGAAATATTCCTTAGGGAACTGTAGATGGCATTCTAAAGTATGCATATAGATATGCCTTAGAAAAAGGGAAGTTGTTATACTTGTGCCCCTTAAGATGTTTGGGCCTAGTATGAGCCATACCTAAGAGGGTATGAAAGGTCCAGAACATCTTGGGATAGGCAATTTGACAAAGCGAAAATTTCCTCTATAGCCTTTCCTTTATTCATCTTATTAAGTATTTTTATAATCATTTTTAACTCTCCCTTGATTTCTATTTGGGCCTTCTTAGCCATTTCAATCGGACTAGTCTATTCTTGCTGCATAAGATTTGCTTGAGAACAGTGTTGTAATGGTGACAGGTAGGCTGCTTAGGATTCTCTGACAATTGAGCTATCATTGAACTTTTATACCATAGAATGACGTATTACTAGATATCAAGAATGATTCTTCTATATGAGAGAATGAATAGATGAATGCATGTATTGGATGTGATTTACAACAATTCAATAATGCATGAATGAAGAAATAACTGCATGAATTGATGCATAAGTTAATGTTTGCCCCATAATGATACATTATATAAACAAATAACTGTCTAGGTTAGAATAACAATTTAATTATGCATAAATGGATGAATGTATGCACGAGATGCTAGATACATAAAAATTCAATAATGCATGGATGGATGAATAAATATATGATTGTGTTAATGTTTGCCACATAACAACCCATGAAAGACTAAATTAACCCAAACTCTTTTTCAACTTTATCACAAAATTCATATAAATGAAACAACCAAAGTTTCTTCATGTGTCTTAACTTGGGTTACATTCTAACAATGGGTGAACATCGCTCTAACCTATAGTTGGCTTTCTATGGTTTTTCTATATGTTGGATTAGGATATTTTAATAAACTAAGAGTTCTCAAATTGTTCTTTACATCATCTCCATTATAGATTAGTAAGGCACCCTAATCCTTATCTATAATAATCTTCAACGAAAAGAGTTCAATATAAGTGAAAGTATTTTGCTAGCTCATGCAAAGGTTATTTCACCTAATAAGAGTATAGGTACTCGCACCCTCCTAAAAAAGGACAAAGCTTGGGTAAAGAACTTATGCATGAAAATGCATATGTGGTGTGTGCAAAGGAACATACAACTCTTTTACACATTTTATTCAAAAATTTCAGATTTCATGCCTTGTCAAATAATTCACTAAGGGATAATACAAAAACAAACATTTTAGTAAACAAAAATAAATACATAAACTAGTGAAGTTGCCAAACTATCATAACGTGTATGTCCCAGAACTCAATCATTAGACATAACACATGGAGTTGCCACTAATCATTTTTAACTAGGTATGATTGGCCATCTAAGTGAATCTATCATTTCTAAGGTTCTCCTAAATTTGACTAAAGATCTCTTAAAATAATAGGTTTTAGTCTACTTAAAAGAATTGGGTTCAAGAGTTTAGTTACATGTAAAAAAGGATATAGCAACATTACAATGCTCACAAATTGGCACCAGTTAATCTTAGATTATCTTTTTTACCTTAATTAATATGATCCTAACATTTTCTTTTTATTTTATTATTTTTAATTATTTTAATATTTAAATATTGAAACTATTTTTAGGTTTTCTCCAACACCTTGGTCGACCCTCTAAAAATATTTTTCACCTCAAAAGTATTTAATTAACACGTCTATTTCCTTGAAAAGGCTCTCTCGTTAGATTTATTAAATATTTTATGAAAAATAATTAATTATTAGTACATGATGATATGCATGGTCAAATTCATAATAATAACATACAATAATCAAATACAAAATCTAATATATGTAATCATAAATAATAATTAATCATGTAAGGAAATCATAATTTGGTTCAAATTTGATTTTAGCAAATTAGAAATAAATAAAAATTCATAAATTAAGACCAATTTCTAAATGTTTCAACACATTGATCGAATTTAGAAAAAAAGTTATCCCACCTAGAAATTTTCAAGAAAATTACATGTCAATAACTTTAATAGAATTTCATCCTTGATTGGATTTTTATTTATTCCTAAATTATTATATATTTTACAAATTAATTTTTACAAATTAAATAAGCAAACAAATGTTAAGGCAAGTAAATAACAAGTACAATAGGAAAAAATTGACATAAATAATTGAAATAAATAATTAAAAAAACAAAGAAAATAATATATAAAATAAATAAATATAAAATAGAAATAAAAAGTAAAATAAGAATAAAAAAAACAATTCAAATAGGTCAGATTTACCGAAGTTATTGGAAAATTTAACTAAAAATTCAAAGTAGATTTTGATTTTTCTTTCTCCAAATCTAACTAATCTCACCTTTCTCCAAATTGAAACCTAAAATCTAACAAGAACTCAATTCCAAAAATTCTCTAAGATTAAAAGCACACCATAAAAAATTTTTTACTTTTCCTCCTTTCCTTCTTTTTGTCCCCCTGGTATTTGATTTAGATCCTTGAAATAGACATTTACTCTTAGCTTCAATACAAGTCCAAATTTGAAAGCAAGTACCATAACTTTTTTTTTTACTCGATTTCAATCTCAAAAATTCAAATAAAACACACCTTTAAGGATTTCAATTCTTTTTCAATCCCAACTCCTTATTTTTTTAATTTCAAATTCTTTCTTTTTTAAACAACCAAAATAAAAAATTTAATAAAATAAAAAATAAAATAGAAATTTAATTCAAATTAAAACTCTAGATTAAATGAGGTGTCTACACCTATATAACTATTACATCTTTTATAAAAAAAAACTTAATTACATTAAAATAAAGTAAGATGAGAAAAGAATATTACAACTCCGATAAATGAAAGATAAGGAAAGGTATGCAAACCCAATTTTATAAGCACCAGAAAGTATTTTAATCATTTATCACTAACTTAAGACATCGGAACATACATTTATAACAACTTTATGAATAACAAAACTTCTTTAATTCAAGTTAATGCTTTTACATGCCACCAAAATTAATATCATATGTTAACTCAATTATGTGATGTTATACCTTATTTGGTCTTAAAATAACACTTTATTTAAGTCCAAGATAAGTTAGGAGTACATGGTTGAATATTTCACCTAGTTTGATATGATTAGCATTTTGTTTCAATTAGTTGTCCTAAAACTTTTAGGATTATTAATTTAATTTGTTTACACAAATCCTAAATAATTTAAAATTATCAATTAAATAAAATCCAAATCAAATTGCATGTATCGAGAAGTCATAGTCCTACTATGATTTGTAGTCTAGTCCTATTTAAACTATGATTACTAATTCTAAGTCAATTAGGAATCCAAAACAATTTAGGAATTTAAATTCAATTAGAAAATGTTAATTAAAATTTAATCTTTTATTTTTATTAAAAAAAAAGAAATAAAAATTTTAAAATTTTTCAAAAATGATTTTATTTTTTCATTTTTATTTTTTTTAAATATGACATGTGATAACACATCATAGCCACATAATCGTCATGCATCATTCATAGTAGCATTAACTGTCACATTAGTATTTATTTTAACAATATTAAGGGATAAGGCAACTTAATAAACAAAAATAAAGTTTAGGTATCAATTTAAAAAAAAAAATTTAGTTTAGATACCTTATTAAAAAAGTGAAATAGTTCAT